TTTTTTTAATTTTGTGTGGCACAATTTATGAAGTCATCTGCAGTTATTTACAAATGATATATTATCATATATATGTTTCAAATTAATACGTGTTTTTATATAGTTCAGTATTTTTCTTTAGATTCTGTGTTTTCGAACTTAAATGAAATTTAATTATGTTCGGTTCTGTAAAAATGGATAAGAGATTAAAGGAGTGCATTAGATTTTATTGAGAGAAAAAAAAATAAAAAAAAATCAACTAAGTGTGATTATAATACTATGTTTTGATATTGTTCCATACTTTTTGTGCCATTATAACATCTAATAGTAAACTCAACTAGTTTGAAAATGAAGGCCTTTTGAAAGGATTTTGTCAAAGTTGTTTGTAAAACAAGATTATCTAGGTAGATACAACTAACTAACAAAAGATATATATGCAATACAAAACCACACTCGCCCATATACTATCAACACACTATGAAAAATAGCATACTATATATTATAAATATGCAATTGAAAATAATTAATAATATCTTAACTCTAGATTATTGGTGGACACAATTTAACATGTACATCATATATTATTAAAAAAGAAAATTATGAAATGATTTTTTTTTTTTTTATCAGACCATTATTGGTTCCCACATTTTTCTATATGGATTTTCTTTCATCTTGACCCTTGAGGTAAAATTATTGGATAAACATAGCCCGTGACTCAGCGCTTGATGATTATTCATAAGCAACATTTTTTTTTTTAAATTCCATTTTCTTAAGGACAATTAAATACACAAGACAAAAACATGTTTTGCAAGTTTTTCTAGGTACATTCTTTTAATTGGTCAAAAAGTAGGTTCCTTGTTTTACTAGCTGTTAAGCGAAACAAGTCGATCATGAGCTCAGCTCGACTCGACTCGTTAAAGTTCGAGTTTGTTTCGTTAATGCGCCGGGCTCGGCTCGCCTCGAGACTCGCTAAACGAATATTCATATAATTTTTTATAGTTCAACTCGTTAAAACTCAAGATTGACTCCTTAAGACTCGATCTCAACTCGTAACATTGATAAAAAAGTTGAGCTTGAGCTCGAGCTCGATTCTGGCTCGTATAATTAACAAGACGAGACGTGCTTAATGTCAAGCTCAAGCACCATGATATGTTGTTAAAAGATCATGAGATCTTGGCACTGGTCACAACTTAACATGTCCACGGTGTTAGCTAATCATTTCCGATATTATAATTTTGACAAAAAAGTGGCTACAAATCAAGGACACATACAAACTACTAGTTTGACTATGTAAAAAAACCAAAATAAATTAGGATTTGGGCCACGTTTAAGTCCATTACACTCGTGCAGTTAAAACTTGAAATGAACACTATTGGGCTTAAAGTTGGGTCTGTGACTTCCTTAAGCTTCCATATAAAACATGTCACAAATTGCTTGAATTGGGCCATTGAGATGATATGAAGTATGAACCAAATGGGCTAAGATGTGAAAAAAATGCAGGCATGAGGCAACCTATATGAAATGACAGGTCATCAATTGTGATCCAATAATAACTTGTAATATGGGCCCAAATCTACAAGACTTCTTTTTGAGAAAATTACTTGTTACAGCACATAAGAACATTTTTATTACATTTAGCAAAAATATCAAAACCAACATAATTATTTGCATAAACACTAGAATGATGGTTTAAATGCAATTGTATTTTATTTATGGAATTAAAGTTTGACAAAAAAAACGTTTCCACTTTTTATGCCATTAAAACTCCACATATTTTTCTCTTTCCTTATCTTCTTCATCTTCTTTCTTTCTATGATTCTTTTTTTTTTCTACAGAAGCATGAAAGCCGGCGGCAGTCCCTTCCGGCTCGTGAGTGGCGGAGGTCACCGGACAGTGGGCTTCATCCGAGGGCGGTTGGAACTTGATATGTCAGGCACCTACAGGAAAATCTATATTATTACAACCAACGTGCAACGACACGAGTTTGGCGAGATGGAGACGGCTAAGGGCAGAGAGTGGTGGGGTGTGGTCTTGAGCCATTGATCGTGTCACGAGGGGAGAGAGAAAGAGGACGACTGGGGTTAAAAGGGCAAGGAACAGACTGTATATAACACGATTATGTTATGTATATGTGCACGAATGATATACTTACAGTATATGGGGTTGGAGCTCTATAGTTGTTTTTAAGATATGTGATGTTTATATATTTTATATGTTGTGTATATAGATAGTATATTTTCAGTATATGTGTTATGTGATGTTTATATATTGTATATGTTGTGTATATATGTAGTATATTTTCAGTATATGTATTCGTAAACACATTCACATATATGTATATGTATATGGTTATGTTGAGTATATAATTAATATTTTTTTTTCTTAACATACCAGGTTAAGATTAAGGCACAGGAATGAGAGAGAGAGAGAGAGAGAGTATTTTTAGGGAGATATTTTGTTATTAATGTAAATCCGTTCAATTATGGTATTTCTCAATCATGGTATTTATTTAATATGGTCCATATGGAGCAACCCTTCAGTTACGGAAATTTAGTTAGGAAACTACATATCTATGCAGTGTTTTGGTATCTAGCAACTACCTAATTATTTTGCTTGAATTTCATACATGCACAAATAATTTTAAAATTATGTAAACATGCAATTTTTTACAGGTACATATGCAAATAGGCCCTTCTTTTTCCCTTCAATTATTTTTTCAGGTAACTAAAATATTTTTGTAGGCGTACAATTAATTAAAGCAGAGATGAAAAAGGAAAAGAGCAAATTGATAATCAGAGATTAATTAACTAATTAATTAATCTTGATCATGGCGGCTACAGTTCCTAATAGCTTGCAACACAGCTTGTTTGACCATCTGGGCATCAATGCTTTCCGGCAGCCCCTCATTCTGCAATCCAAACAATTAAGCCAATATTATATATAAGGTTAATTAGTAGTATAATATAATATAAAGCTCATATATACTTTATTACTTCGTGAAAAAATAAAATAGAAAAATCTGATGTGTTGCATGTAGAACAAGCCAATTAACTCATGGTTAGAGAAAAATGATAAAGCATATAATATAGAATGTAAACGAATCGAGCAAAACTCGTATTAACAAATCGAGTTCAAAGTTTAACGAGCCAAAATCGAGCTTTAATGGTCCGAATTATAAAAGAATTGTATAAAAGTTTCTTTTTAAGAGCGTCGAGCCGAGTCCGACTCGTTAACTAAACAAGATCGACCGCAGCTCACGAGAGTCTCGTTTCGTCTAATAGACATCCACCGGTTAAAATCTATTGGAAGACAATATATATATTTCACACTACAAGAAAGAAATTCCGCGTTTAGTCACAAAAAATTCCATCTATAATTATTAGATAAACTCCCACAATAAAATTGTTGTTAGACAATCATATATTCTAACAGACGTCCATATTAGACAATCCACTACAAAATAATTGTTATATTTTAACGGAAAATCCTATGGTAATACATTCCAATAGAAATTCCAATGAATATTCCAATGGTATAGCTTTCCTAGGAATGGTTCCAACAGAAATTCCAACGGAAATATTCTGTTGGAATGTGTTTTTCATTGAAATTTTAGATGGAATTTGATAATTCCAACGGCCATATTTCCAACGACTTTTTACCGTATGAATTTCCGTTGGAATTTTTATTTCCACCCCCATTGGAAAATCCACCGTCGGAATCATCAAAATCCAATGGAAATTCCAATGCAAAACCCATTCCAACGGATTATTTTTGTTGGAATTTCCGTTGGAATCCATTGAAAAATTCCAACGGAAATAATAGTATTGAAATATTCGTTGGAATAAATCTTTTGAAATAGATTTCTGTTGCAATTTCATCATTTTCTTGTAGTGATCATATTCGTTTAACAGAGACCTATACAATCAATTGAATTGTAATGTTACTTTGTATAGTATTTCTATGATATATACAATATTAATAAAAGTATGACATTTTATTGGAGCCAAAAAATAAAATCTATAAATTGATTTGTTTTTGCTTATAAGCTCCAATTACAAAAAGAAAATTTCCTTTAACATTTTTACTTCTTTTTTTTTGATAGTTTTCGCAATTCCATCTATTATACTTGTTTATACAAATACCTCGACAATATTTATCTTCGAAAAATTTAACGAGACAACTCGCCTAACAGTTATACCGCCTCACACAAAATTTTGTATAATAAAACAAACCAAGTAATCACGAGAACTTAGAATTAGGAGCAGCTACTTAGTGGTATATATTAAGCACAAAAATCTCATCAATTAATTAGTACTGCAGTAACAAGTACATGGTGAAAAAAAACATAGATCAATTAATTTTACCTGATCACTAACAGCCTCAAGATGAAAATTATCGGTGCACGAAACCCTAGCGTCGAACACTTCAAGCCCGACCTCATCGAAAGCTTCCAGGATCGATCGAAGCATACCCGGGCAGTTTCGCTCCGAAAACACGTCTATTTGAAACCCTTTTTCTAGGGTTTTCACTTTCACCTGCTTCAGTATAAAAGATGATCAAACTAATCTTGATTATTGCTAATTAATGACCGTAACTTTTTACTTTTTTTTTTACCGTAGGCGACGATCTCTCGTGGCCGC